TGGGCTGAACTTGAGAAATAAATAAATGGATCACTAAAGTGAGGTTTAAGTCCAAGGGCTGATTTTTGAAAGGGTGTTTCTATTCATAGCCACACAATTACTAATCACAGGATTCACAGCCACAAAATTAAAGTGAGAAATATGTTTTCTAAATACTACCGTATCTATTTTAGCCTTCTCCCCCATCCATACGCATACAAACTTCCACTCGTTTCATCTAGCGCTTGAAGATGGAGGGCCATGGGACAATCGTTTAAGAAGATCTAATGACTTAAATTAGGGCTCTCTTCATCTCCGTTTTCGACAAATCTTGCTTCTCCAACAAGAACACGATCAGATAGAGAAGATCGATAGTGAAGAAAATTTGTTAACCATAATGATTAAAACTATGAAATCAATAAAATTAAATCGCAAAAGATCGAGACCAATCAATCCTCAAATGTAAAGCTAATGATTTGGAGAAGAGAAGAATTGAGAAGAGTAAAGGAACAAGAAATTCAGGGGTTTCGTAAGATGAGGAGTGTGGTATGATTTGGCCAGTTACTTACTCTTCCATGCCTCTTTGCCGTTCTCTCTTCATCTCCAAAACAAAAGATTGACCGATCTGACTCGAGCAAGCGAGTGAAAGGCCGGCTGAAGAATCACAATTGAGGGGTAAAATGGTTGTGAATAGAAATATGGTGGCTATGAACGGAAGAGGATTACCCCCTCTTACCTTACGGTACCAAGTAGATTTGATTGACAAAAGGATACAAAGGTGACTTGAATTTACTCTTGATTTAACTATGGGTGATGCGCAACTAATGAAAGAGTTTGGGAGACCAACTGAAGGTGTCTCCGCGTCCTGCATTGTATTGAGTGAGACTTTCCGAAATTATTATCTCAAGACTGTTCACTTTAATCAATTGCCATCTTTCCATGGGCTTGCTTCCGAGGATGCGTTGATCTTTATGCGAGATTTCTATGGAATAATTCAAAATTTTCCCTTTCAAGGAGTGACTGAAGATTAACTGAGGATGAGGGGTTTTCCATACACCCTCAAAGATGCTGCCAAGACATGGTTATCTCTTTGACACCTGGTTCCCTGTGCACTTGGACTGAAGTTTACAATAAATTCATTGGCAAGTACTATTCGTAGTCCAGAACTTCAGAGTTAAGGAGAGATCGCTACTTTCACTCAAGCAGAAGGTGAACCATTTCATGAGGTGTGGGAGAGATTCAAGATGGTGCTCATTCAATGCCCACACCGCGTCTATTCATTGACGCTCCAGAATCAAACTTTCTACTACGGTTTAACACAAGGGAGCCAAGCTATTGTTGACAACGCAACTGAAGGAGCAATGGGAGAGAAGACCGCAGAACAAACTTTAGAGATTTTTGAAATGCTCGGAGCCAATTCACAACAGCAGACTGTGTAGTTCAAGACTCCAGGAATTTATGAAGTGGGAGTTGGGACAGAATTAGCCATCCAGATGTCCGAGTTGTCCAAACAGATGAAGAATATGTGCTCTGCATGTGATGACAATGAGTCAACCCACTGCCGTTGTGAATGCGGTACCTAAAGCTATTTTTTAGCAAGTCCACATGATGAACTCTTACAATCAAGGGTTGAGAAATGATCCATTCTCCAACTCTTACAATCATGGTTGGTGAAATCATCCTAATTTCTTATGAGGTAACAAGCAACAAAGCAACCAGCCAACACCTGTACAAAAGAAGCATACTTTGGAGGATACTTTGCAAACTTTCATGCAAATCTCCACCCAAAATCAACAAGCAAATGAGCAGCGTTTTCAACAGAACGAAGCTTCTTTGAGGAAGCTAGAGATACAAATGGACAAATTGTCGAATGTTTGCAAGGCCATGTCAAATGGAGATTACCTAGTAAGACTGAAGAAGCAAAAGCTGTCACCGCTCTTAGAAGTGGGAAGATAATTGAAAAGGATGAAGGGCAGCCCATTCCTAAGTAACCAGAGAAGGTAGAAGCTGAAAAGGAAGAAGAAGTTGAGGCTGAATCAGTGCATGAGGAGAGTGGGCTGCACAAGTCTCAAGATCCATATGTGCCCGCCTAAACCATGTGTTTCACCCGTTCCTTTCCCAAACAGGTTAAAAAGTTCTAAGTTTAATAAATCTTTTGATGAGATTTATAAGTTTTTGTCTAAGATTAATGTGAACTTGCCTCTTCTTGAAATGATAACTAATATGCCTGCTAATGCTAAGTTTTTGAAAAAATTAAGCACTAGAAAGTGTAGGTATAAACCAAATGAACAAGTATTTGTTTCTAAGGCTGTTATCGCTGTAATGTAAAAAGATTTGCCTCCAAAATTGAAAGACCCTGGAAGATTTATTAGCAGCATTAATTTAGGGAATTCTAAATCTGAAAAGGCTTTGCTTGATTTGAGGGCAAGTATTAATTTAATAACTTATTCTATTTACTTGAAATTAGGGCTGAATGAGCTAAAATTTACTACTGTGTCCCTACAGCTTGCTGAACGCTCTATCAGATATCCTAGGGGCATTGTAGATGATGTTTTAGTTCAAGTTGATAAGTTGATCATTCCTGCTGATTTTGTGGTTTTAGATATGGCTGATCAATGCAAGTATGTGAAAGATATGCCGATTTTATTCGGTAGACCTTTTATGGCCACGACAAAACCATGATTGATGTTCAAATGGAAAATTGACTATGAATGTGCATGATGAAACTGTTGAGTTTTCCATTTTGAAATGCATGAGTATGCTTGCTGATTCTAGTTCTTGTTTTGCACTTGATATTCTTGATCGTATTGTTTCGTTGGACAAGTTGCAGGAAGATGAGCTTGAGAATGCTACTTATGAGATTGCCAAAGTTTGCAAGAAGCGCACTAATAATTTTCTTTATAAGTCCATTTTAAGGAAAGATTTTAACCTGGAATTAAAGTGTTATTGCTTGACTCTCGTTTAAGATTTTTTCTAGAAGAAATAAATTTTAAGTGGACTGGTTCGTTTGTGATTCACCAAATATTTCATGACGTTGCAATTGAGCTTGAAAATCCAAAATGTGGGAATGTTTTTAAAGTGAATGGTGAGAGAATGAAGATATACTCATGTAGTGAAGATTCGGTGGAGCGAGTTCAAAGCCTTGAGCTTTGGGAACACTATTGCTCATGCATTTGATCACATGTTTTTAAAAAAAAAAAAAAAATCTAAAAAAAAAATCTTTTTCGTAATTCTGTTTTCCCTCTCCCCATTATGTTCTTTTCATTCTTTTCTTAGATTTGCAGCTTAATTTTCAAGATGTTTCCGTTCTGGTTTGAAGTGCATTCAGGGAGTTCTTTTCCACCTTTCTCTTTTTATTAATCTTTCATTGAGGACAATGCTAGAGATAGGTGTGGGGGAGGAGTAGCTTTTTTTTAAGTTTTATTTTAGTTTTAAAAAAATCAGAAAAACTGCAGAAAAAAATCATAAAACAAAATGTTTCCTTGCTTGTATTTGAGGAAATTTTTAATTTCAGGACGACTTCTTTGGCCTGAAGTTGTGAATAGTTTCCTTTTCATTGGTATTTGGTATGATTGGTGGTCTCCATGATAGTTTTTCTCTTAAATTTGATTGAGTTCTTCACATTGTTTTTACTTGAAGTCAACTTTTTAGCCTCGTGTGCCATTAATTTTGATGTATTTCTCGGTTCTTTATGATCTTTTAGGATGCATTTTTTACTTTCTTGGAAAGAATGTGAGTCCTTTGACTTTTAGCTAGCATGATATAACTTGTCTTATTGTTGTTTTTAAAGCTAAGTTATTGTGCAAACTGATTGTGAAGGGATCTAGGCCATTTTTCATAACTCGTAACCTTTTAACTTACCATTTGCATTTTATTTCCGCTTGCTGCCCTCTTTGAGCCTAAGTGGTCTTAAAGCATTCTACCGTGCTTTTGAATAATAATTTCTTTGTGATTACCCAACAATGTTGACCCCAAACCCAAATAGCCAAATATATATCCCTCACCCTTGAGTTGACATTTTTTTACTGAATTGTGATTTGGAAGAAGTTTCAATTTTATTGGAGCATTTCTTTTCCTGGCACTTTGTATAGATGTAATATTGTAATAGCAATTTGATATTTCTTTGTAGAGGTAGTTTTGATGTAGCATTCAAAAAAAATCTGGAAAAAAGCAGAAAAAAAAGAAAAGAGAAAAAAATGAGTTGAGTTGAAGTTTGGATTATTTTCACTATATGTATGTACTTCGTTATCTTAGAAGCCGGTTGATTGTTGTAATAGATTTGTTTGCTCCTTTAGCATATATTGAATTCTTTCTAGGATCGGTTTAGTACAGCCCGTTTGCTCCGTTATCTTTTACTTTTAATTTATAGACTACTACAAATGGTCTATGACTCTATGTAAACCTTTGTTATATGAAAGTCCAGCCCTAACGTTATGGAGGCCCAGTTCATACCAGTGGACTCTAGATCTACAATAAAAACAAAACATATCATAACCAAAATTATTGATAAAAATAAGACATATTACCCAAAATAAGACTAAATCAGTTTGAAAATTCCAAAATAGGACTGTCATATTTTGATTCCCAAAATAGGACTAATTACTGTCATGTTTTGGCAGTACCAGACTTCAAACATGGCAGTATTTTCTAAACATGGCAGTAATTAGTCCTATTTTGGGAATAAAAAACATGACAGTCCTATTTTGGAATTTTGAAACTGTTTTAGTCCTATTTCAGGAACTTTCCCTAAAAATATATAATGATTTTGCTCATACAATTAATAAATTTGAAGTATTACTAATTCATACTCCGTAATCCGTATATACTTAAACCAATGTTAAAGTTTACATAAACCAAACATGGCAGTGTTTGGTTTGAGGTAATATTCTATACCGGGCGGAATCTGATGCCCGGGATGTGAGATTCCAGTGTTTGGTTCGCGGGTTTGGGTTTTTTTGGGAATGCTACATTCCCAAAATTGAAAAAGGGAATGAGATTACCGGTCATCTCAAACCCATAAGTCCTTAGGTTTTCTAAGATTCCCGCACCTCTATTCCAAAAACACCCAGCCGCAACTCTCTTCTTCCTTCGAACGCAGCTCTCCTCTCCAGGTAATTTCTTTCTCTATTTTCAAAATTCTGTATGTGTTCTTCTACACCCTCCTTGTTCATCACTTAAATTCTCAGGCGTCATATTCCCACTCCTAAGCCTCTGTTTCTCCGTTTTCTTACCCTAGCTGGTCAGAATCTGTAGCCATGAATCTGTTGTTGTTGGAATTTTCTGTAGCCATGAAACTGTTGCTTGGGGTTTCTGTTGTTGGAATTCTCTGTAGCCATGAATCTGTAGCTTTGTTATTATATCTACTGGGACTAGATATATTACAAACATTGTTACTCTGTTGTAGGAATTCTCTGTTTTTTAAGAGACATAATAGCGAGGAAACTCGTAAAAAAGCTAATAGTGCTAATACCCAACCTGAAGTAAGGTGGAAGCAGTACTTCGGTTTTTAAGTTTCGACCCAAACAATAGGATTTCTGTTGTTGGAATTTTCATCTTATTATGATATAATAATAATGATTCAGTTTGCTTTATAGATACATACTATACTATTTTTCTAGGATGAACATCAACTTCAGTCTGCTTTTGCATCTTAAGATGAATACTATTTTTTGTTGTGTTGCTTCAGAATATCATCATTTCAATAAATAGAGCATATCAGTTATTCATTACCTTGATAATTATAAACCGCCTATTGAATAGTAGAAATCAAGAAGTGATGTAACACTGTGTAAAGCCCCTTTCAGTCTTGAGGCAGTGCTCTTGGAGGAAATACAGTGAAAAAAAGATAATAATTAGGAAACATATTAAACATAAGGCCTTGGACAGTAGGTTTGAAATAAATCCTTCAATATACTATTAGAACAACTTGAATAAAGTCCTTGAACAGTAGGTAAGCTTTATTTTCCTAAAACACAAGGCCTTGGAAAGTAGGTTTTTGCACTCTTTGCAAACTGTTTGCTATGATTTTTTAATGTTCCACATATTTGAGTAATATTTGAGTAAGGATGGGCTGTTTGGACATATTCTACTGTCCAACATGAGCTATGATTCTGCTATGAAGTTTCCTAAAGAATATAGTAATACTTGTCCACATATTTGAGTCTTATGTATTATATAATTGTTTTAGGTTATATGGCTCGATTGCCAATTCAAAAGAAGATGCACTTGGCCACTGTTTTAACTTTGCAAATGATGGAAACGGAAAACTTGCTTCTCATGATGATTTTCATTGCAATTTGTTTACTTATTAAGAGAAGTAATAACAGGAGAGGAATTACCTATGCTCACATGTTCAATAGGAGACATAACTTAAGGACATTGAATTTGTGGGAGATGGCTTTTGACAGCGATACTTCATGCGTTAATAATTGTAGAATGGATAGGCGCGACTTAAAGAAACTATGTTATTTGCTTAGAAGCGTGGGTAGATTGAGGGAAAGCAGGAACATGAGCATTCAAGAAATGGTGATATCATTTCTTCATATTATTGGACACAATATAAAGAATAGGGTTTTGAAACGTCAAGTGGCAAGGTCAGGTGAAACAGTCAGTAGACATTTTCAGTCTGTTTTTCTATAATTTTAATTATTTTAATTATAGATTGTAATAAGTTTAATGTGTTAAGAGACAAATATTTAAAGGGCACTTAAGTAATTCATCAAACATAGAATATAAGATACCAATCAACCAAACAACTTAATGTCACATTCCTTTAATCGTAACCAAACACAAATGAGTTATACATTAATCACATTCCCATCTATCTGACATACCCGGTAATCTAACATTCCCACGGTAATCTGATATTCCGTGAACCAAACATACCCTAAAATCATTGTGACATTTAAAAAAAGATCTTCAATGATATCGTCTTCATATGCAATAATATTTCTATAAAATCATTCTCGTGTTATTTAGAGTAGATTTAAAAAAATATATATAGGGATTCCAACGTCTTCAATTTCAATGTTTTTTAAGGCTCAACTTGGACTAGGGTTGTAAACGAATCGAATCAAACCGAATACTTGATAATATTATTTGTATTCGTATAATTATCAAATATTCGTATTCGTATTCGATTAAAATTCGAATCTTATTTTGTATTCGTATTCGATTCGTTTGATATATTCGAATCTTTTTCGAATCGAATTCAGTGTATTACCTAACTGTGCAGGTGTTGGGGTGCCTCAGGTATAGAGTGTCATCCTTTTTTAGTATTACGAGTAGTATTTTTAATAAAATTCGCGCTTCTGGTCAGACAAAAAACACTGAGATAAAGTCATAATCGCCTCAAAGAGCATATGATAATTGTAATGAGAAAATGTATACGATCACGGAGTTACGTTGTGATTGAGCGAGCAATATGGCACTCTCTCTATGTTTTCCTAACATGAACTATCTTTGTCAAAAAATACAGGTTAAAAATATGACATATGTTCTCATATGCGGGATGACCTTTGTGATTGAAGACACATATTTTTGAATAAAAATCCATACATAAGTATATTCACTTTTTTCACTAATTGCAATTAGTTATGTGAGGATTTTTCAAGGATTAATTAGCATATCCTTGTCAAAAATGTGTCAATTCGCAATAAAGTGATGCCAGACCCTTCGATTTTTTAATTAATGCAATATGATAAAGAATCGATATGTAAAATCATATTACTAAATAAAGTTATATTGAAGTATGAAATAGCGAACTTGATTTATACTTCACCTTTAGACATTGTAGTATTACATTTTAAACAAGTACCTACTATTTTTGTGGCAGAAATGTAGGGTTGGACATGATCCTAGTTTAGAATAGAAGTACTGACCATTTTATAGTATGAAAAATAACAAAAACTCTAATCTAATTAAAACCAGAAACAGTGCTAGAATCAATAATTTCTAATACAAATTATGTCTTTCTATCAGAAACTCTAACATTACTGTTTAGAATTGCTATATATTGGGTGTGTTTTTGAAAAACAAAAAAATTAATAAAAATTAATTAATTAAAATGACTAAAGAAAAACAGAAAATAGATGAAGCAGAATCACGAGCACTTTGTCACGGTGCGTCAAAATAAATTCAATACTAAACACTTATACGTAGTATAGCGTAGTAGAGTTCGTATCCACAGGGAAAGGAATAATTCTCTTTTTATGATACTTAGTAAATAAAAGGGGGGATTTGGATTGAGTGATTTAATTTAATTAAGAACTAAGATGAACAACCTATATGTGTTTAATTCAAAGATAAAAAAGACTTGGCATTGCTACTTTCCACTTGTTGATGTATTTTAGTCGATCATTGTTATATCTATAACTTATTCCCTCTCGAATACTCAATCGGGGATTATATCCACTTCATCGAGGGTAGTTATTAACAACAACCGTTCATTAATAACTCTTACTATTAATCAATTATAGAACAACGTCTTATACCGATTTAATAGTAGCATTTAATCTTTCTAACTCCTTGATGAAATCAATTGAGATTGATAACCTCAACACAACGGTTTCGGTTTAACCAACAAAATTAATCCCTCTTAAATTTATTAACCACAACCGTGCATTAATAAACCGAAGGTACTTACTTGTGAAACCATCAACGATTAACCATCGGTTCGTTGATCGTTTCTAGTAATAATTAATATATGAAACAAAACTAGTTGATCCTTTAAGTAATGTTCAAAATATTACTATGAAATATGAGTAGGAATTAATTAATATTCAAGGAAGAATATTATTAAAGAAGATGAATCCTACTATAATTAATATCAAGATGTTAACTAATTGTCATCTTAGCAACACTCCCCAACATTAATATAGAGGAAGAAAATACCATTCTAACTAATGTCGAGATGTTAACTAATTGTCATCTTAGCAACACTCCCCAACATTAATATAGAGATGGTATTAAGGAAAGAACTATTAATTAATATTCAAGGAAAGAAGTTAAGAAAATAACTCACAACTTTAATAATCAACAAGCTTCAAAAGCAACACCAAGAATGGAAGTTTAGCTCCTCATTTGGAGACTAAACATAGCTAGAAAAATATAAAGAAATGCTATTCTAAACTGAGCTTAGGAGTATGGAAGAAGGGATTGATTAAAAGTGAAGGAAAAGTGTGCTATTTATAGGTGTTTTCAACACCCTGGGGCGGATACCCGACCGGGTAAAGTGCCATACCCGACCGGGTATCAGTCAAAATCAAATATTTGCCACGTTCTGGTGATCTTCGCACGCCGGATTTTCCCCGGTCACTTCTCACCCGACCGGGTGAGGTAGTGGGCCCGACCGGGTCTAGTGATTTTCCAAGAAATTTCGTCTTTTAAATCAGACCAGACCGGGTGAATTCTTCTACCCGGTCGGGTTTCAGCTCCTGGATAGTCCAATCTCCCTTTTCTTCACTTCAAAGTCCTCCTTTTCAACACCATAATTCCTAATTCTACTTTACAACTAATAAATGAAGATTAAAATACAATTACAACTAAATTCACACAAATGTTTACAAATTAAATAAAACGGTAAACAATACACACAAATCAATCATAAAAATATACATTTATGCACTACTAATTAGTGCATATTAAATACCTCCACACTTGAACCTTTACTCGTCTCGAGTAAAACAAAAAAATATCCCCAAAAATGTAAGAGTAAATAGGGGTCTTCAACTCTATATTTCTTATCAATCTCATTTTTTTTTCGTTACCCTCAGGATCCTGCAGAAATAAAAGAAAATACTTTCTCTCATTCTCTCATTTTGCCTAGGTGCCCTTTCGGGTTTTCATCCCAACTTCCCACATTTTTCTGTTTTAATCCTCACATCTCACTCTTATTTTTGCTTTATTTTTGCTTAAGTTGCCTTTCCGGGTTTTCAACTTAACAAGTTTTTTTTTTTTGAAAAAAATACAAGAATATGGAGTATGACTGTGAGTATTCCATGAAATTCTCCTCCCAAGCCAATCAAAGCACTGTCCCTAGTGCTTGTGTCCGAGATGTCCAAAAGAATGAATCCCTTTTGCCCTTTTTGGTGTCATTTATTTTCTTTTTGGTTGGGCAAATTACGGCTTTTGCTGTTTGTGGAGCAAGGGGATTTGGATTTTTGGTTATTTGGGAGGTTCTCTTTTTTGGTAGAATCGAAGGTTTGAGGTGCGAAAATGGAGGTTTTGAGAGTTGTGGTTTGTATGGGGGAGAGGGGAAATGGGGAAGAAGGTGGTTGCCCAGCCTCTTTTACTGTCAAAAACCGATGACCCGGCCGGGTGGGGTAATATGGCCCGGTCAGGCTTAACTTATAGCTATCCAGAGAGTTTTTGGGAAAAACACCCGGCCGGGTGGTGTAGTAGACCCGGTCGGGTAGTATATTAATTTTGAGCTCATTCATTGCCTCGCCCGGGTGAGTTGTGCGGGTAGGGTATTTTTACTCTATACCCGACCGGATGTAGTGTGGTACCCGACCGGGTATGTTCCCCAGGGTTTTTTTAAGCGTAAACTTAAACTAGAATAAAAAGTAAATGTACCTTACATGGGTTGCCTCCCAAGAAGCGCCTTATTTAACGTCGCGGCACGACGCCATCGTTGTGTTCAATCATTTAAACTTGGATCGTGATAGTTTATCTTCGCCACATTTTCACTCCTAGGACTTCCATAGGAATGCTCGATTTTCTGACCCTTCACTGTGAAAATCCCTCCAGGATCAAATATCCAGATTTTCATTGATTCATGTGGTGGGAGTGAAGGAAAGAAATTATCGTTTAACATGGTCAATGGAAAATGTTTGGATCCCTCAATTTTGCTTAGAATTTCAAAGATGTCACTCTCCTTTTCAATATTATGAGTTTCTCTCAAAGTTTTTAGAACTGATGGGGGTACCTCAAAGAATGATAAGGATAGGTATTTGACCTTGAATCTCGGTTCGTCCTCTTCTTTGACCAGATGGAGCTCTGTGTGTTTTTCTTCTTCTACTTCTTCTGGATTTTGGATCTCTTTTTGCATTTCCTTTTAATTTGTCAATGTGATTGCAAAAGTTTGCTGTTTAGGATCACATTCTATTTGAGAAGGAAGTTTTTCTGAATCCCTTGCTTCAAGCCTAATCACGGCTCCGGCTATTTGACTCATTTGAGTTTCCAAGTTTAAAATGCTAGACTTGGTCTCATTTTGGAATTGCACCATGTTGTTTTGCATGGTGGTCATGTTGGTAATAATAGCCCGGACCATATCCTCCGTAGACATGTTAGAGTTGGAGAACGGATCATACCTCATGTGAAGTACATCCCTTTCGTAACCAACATCAACAATTTGTTCAAGGTATTCATCTTGGAGCTTTGGGCAGAAATTCGTACGATGCCTGTGAGACATGCAAATGTTGCATGTCTTGACATCTTGAGCTTTTGAGTTTAAGGTAAATTCCTTTATTAGAGAAGTCAAGAAGAAAATTTGACCCTCTAAGGATGAAGTGTTGGTATCCATATACTCACAACTCATGTAAGCTCAGAAAATAGAAGAGCAAGATTTTTTTTTGTTTTGTTTTTTATTTTTATAAGATAAAATAAAAAGAAAAATAATTGCCTTTCCCCGGCAACGACGCCAAATTTGACGAGCACTTTGTCACGGTGCGTCAAAATAAATTCAATACTAAACACTTATACGTAGTATAGCGTAGTAGAGTTCGTATCCACAGGGAAAGGAATAATTCTCTTTTTATGATACTTAGTAAATAAAAGGGGGGATTTGGATTGAGTGATTTAATTTAATTAAGAACTAAGATGAACAACCTATATGTGTTTAATTCAAAGATAAAAAGGACTTGGCATTGCTACTTTCCACTTGTTGATGTATTTTAGTCGATCATTGTTATATCTATAACTTATTCCCTCTCGAATACTCAATCGAGGAGTATATCAACTTCATCGAGGGTAGTTATTAACAACAACCGTTCATTAATAACCCTTACTATTAATCAATTATAGAACAACGCCTTATACCGATTTAATAGTAGCATTTAATCTTTCTAACTCCTTGATGAAATCAATTGAGATTGATAACATCAACACAACGGTTTCGGTTTAACCAACAAAATTAATCCCTCTTAAGTTTATTAACCACGACCGTGCATTTATAAACCGAAGGTACTTACTTGTGAAACCATCAACGATTAATCATCGGTTCGTTGATCGTTTCTAGTAATAATTAATATATGAAACAAAACTAGTTGATCCTTTAAGTAATGTTCAAAATATTAATATGAAATATGAGTAGGAATTAATTAATATTCAAGGAAGAATATTATTAAAGAAGATGAATCCTACTATAATTAATATCAAGATGTTAACTAATTGTCATCTTAGCAACACTCCCCAACATTAATATAGAGGAAGAAAATACCATTCTAACTAATGTCAAGATGTTAACTAATTGTCATCTTAGCAACACTCCCCAACATTAATATAGAGATGGTATTAAGGAAAGAACTATTAATTAATATTCAAGGATAAAAGTTAAGAAAATAACTCACAACTTTAATAATCAACAAGCTTCAAGAGCAACACCAAGAATGGAAGTTTAGCTCCTCATTTGGAGACTAAACATAGCTAGAAAAATATAAAGAAATGCTATTCTAAACTGAGCTTAGGAGTATGGAAGAAGGGATTGATTAAAAGTGAAGGAAAAGTGTGCTATTTATAGGTGTTTTCAACACCCTGGGGCGGATACCCGACCGGGTAAAGTGTCTTACCCGACCGGGTATCAGTCAAAATCAAATATTTGCCACGTTCTGGTGATCTTCGCACGCCGGATTGTCCCCGGTCACTTCTCACCCGACCGGGTGAGGTAGTGGGCCCGACCGGGTCTATGATTTTCCAAGAAATTTCGTCTGTTAAATCAGACCCGACCGGGTGAAGTCTTCTACCCGGTCGGGTTTCAGCTCCTGGATAGTCCAATCTCCCTTTTCTTCACTTCAAAGTCCTCCTTTTCAACACCATAATTCCTAATTCTACTTTACAACTAATAAATGAAGATTAAAATACAATTACAACTAAATTCACACAAATGTTTACAAACTAAATAAAACGGTAAACAATACACACAAATCAATCATAAAAATATACATTTATGCACTACTAATTAGTGCATATCACAGAATATAGCCAGAGGTCGTGCTACACACGATGTCCTTAAAACGTATTCGTCGCCTCCCACGGTGCTAGGATACGGTGGCTAACGAACTAACGTTTGAGCACACAAACGAAAGTTCCGGCGAACAGGAACAAACACAGAACACCAAGGAAATTTTCGAAGTAGGTGCAAGTGTGTTAGAGCTAAAAACTACGTGCAGATTGCTTGTGAACTTGTGTTCGTTGCAAAGCCCCTGCCAGCTATTTATAAGACGATTAGTGGTGTGTTAACCAAGTTTTAATGGACCTGAACGTTGCACATAAATGTCCAGCACGTTGGGTATTAATATGTCGAAAAACTGTACATTTAAAGAAGCATTAAAAGATAAAAACATTGGCCACTTATTACTGTAACGGTTCGGAATCGTTCAGCTGCGCGACCATAATACCCCCACCAGAACACCCTACGAGGTGTTCTGATTCCGAAGCCAACAGAAACCCTCTCAGGTCTTCTTGTCCGGAAGCCAACAGAAAGCGGAGCAGTTCTGGTTCTGGGCAAAATAAAAACGTTACCGGAAGAAACAAAAATTAGATCGGAAAAAATTCCACTTATGGTCCTTCGAGTTTTGCACCAATTCCACAATTCGTCCCCATCTTTCATTTCATCCAGTTTTGGTACCTGACTATTGTTTTCTTCACCATATATAGTCCTTTTCCGATAGTAAAAATGCTTAGAAATGGATCACAAATGGTCAAGAAAACAATAGTCAGGTACCAAAAATGGATAAAGTGAAAGACGAGGACTAAATATGGAAATGACACAAAACTCGGAGGACCTAAAGTGAAATTAATTCCCAAATAGGTCGTATCTTTGATTGATGTTTGGACGACATTCATGTCCGCAGGTCGCCCGCGCACGCAAGTCGCGGTTTTTCTTCTCCGTTTTCGGGATTTGATCCCCCCCGCCCCACGCGCGCGCGAAGAGAGCCTTTACCTGTAGGAATCTTAACTCCTTCAAAGAGGGTTCCCATTTTAGGTGGTGAAAATCCCTTGGATTTTTCGGTGTAGGATAAATCGCACTAGAAATCCATCATTTTCCGAGTTCTTCTATTTTAACGAGTGAGTTTCGAGAATCAATTTCTCATTCACCCATTATCCGTTTTGAGTGTACCATATATCGAATTGTAGCCCTTAACAAGGACAATCCGAAACTACTTTGACCCAATCCGAATCGGAAGTGGACCCCACTCAAAATATTCCCCAAATTGACCATTTAATTCAATTTTTAACACATTTTTCTAACACTTTAATGAGTCCAAAACTAGAGTTATAGTCTGTAGCCGTACATTGTTTGAAACCGGCATTGAATAATTTATTTCTAGTTACAAATAATAACATGTACGGACTAAACATAATAGACTAGTGACACACCCGACTTCACCCATCTCATTGTCATCCATGCGGCAGCGTTCCTCATTGAAAAAACTTCTCCTTCTACCACTACATACAAGAAGTGCAGTAACTAAGAAGAATTGTACCATGCTCACAACTGGCTCACTTTTCTGTATAGCCCATGGAGGACGTGATGAACTTATAACAAAAGACTTCAAATAATACCAGAGTATTGACAAAAGTTAAATCACACAATATTTAAAGGGTTAATTACTTATACAAGAGTAATAGAGAGAGGAATTTTTTAGGGTTGCCGCAAGGCAATCTTTAGCGTTAGGAATTTTCTAGGGTTGTCGCAAGGCAATCTTTAGCCTCGATGTGTCCGCTATCGGCTTAGCCGAGGAGCGGGGTTCGGTTTCGGCCGACCAATTTGTTATTATTGATCAGTTTGGAGGGTGGACGAAGGTGGGCAGTCAGGAGGTTACGGAGATCATTGCGGAGTGAGATCCGTTAAGGAAAATTTGAGCAGCGGCGCTTCAGGAGGCATTCGGCGGGTTTAACGAAGCAGCGAAGCGGACGGATTGGTCTGTGCAGCAGCGATTCTGGAATTTTTAGTCAGCTTGGTAAGGCATAGAGATTTATGGAGAATATTGGTGATCAATACAAAAAGATGTCAATCGGTGCGGAAGAAGAAGAACTGGCGAGCAATGGGAAGGTGACCATTTCGATGATTAGCATGATAGGTTCTCAGATGAATTTTCTGGAGGTTGAAATTCTCTTCTATCATACTACAGTAGCTCGCCCTCCTCCGGAACCACCTCCCTCCGAGGAAACAATTTGAGGAAAGTTTTTATTTTCGTATTGTTTTTCCCTTCACATTACTTATTTTTATTTCAGATCGACTGGGTGTGGTCGGAGTATTTTAATTTTTGATGAACTCTTGATAGGTCTTGTTTCATTTTCGGTCGTTTTAGGTTTCTTCTTGCTCGTTTTGTGTCTAGCGGGTCATATTGCTTTGTATGGGTGGATGACTCTAAATCTATTCATATGACTTACGATCCGATCTGTAATATCTGTCTGAATTTGGTGTTGCGTGTTTGCTCTATTTTAATGGAAAGCCGTTTTGATGATAAAAAAAACTTATACAAAGTAATTAAAATTTAAATAGCAACAAATTGAATATAAGATTCAAATTGCCGGAATAGGAGTAAAGTGAAAGGAGTTAGAAAATTGCTCTTTAAGCAACCACTATCGCATCACCGCATGCCGCCGCGTCCACCAGATGTCGTTAGTCACCGCCAGAAGCCGTCAGAAATTCTGCAAAAAAAAACAATTGCCAACTTCAGCTCCTAGTAATGAGTGGGATTGGCAAGTTTAAATGGGTTAACCATGCACTAAGAGGGGTGGATAAACTCTAAACCTAACTATTGGTCCAAAATAGGATGCTCGTATACTTTTAGGAAAGCTACGTACGACACTCAAGCAGGAAATCAGGAAAATAATGCAAATAAGGAAATAAGCTAAAAGTGTTTAGTTGCCAGAAATAGCATATCTGTATTTGAAATTTGAATTGCCTTTTATAGGCGATTACAAATGGTAACTGCCGAACATAATGATGAATAAATTAATTACAACATTAATACAGAATTAAATACATAATTAATAGTGCATTGATTGTTGGCCGTTACTCTTTCTGGTTGGCTGGCAGGTCGGCGTGGCTGGCAGATAGAACGCTTGAGCTCCTCGTGCGGCAGGCTTCCGCTGGGCTGGAAGGCAGGCCGTTGACCGGGCTGGAAGGCAGGCTCATGGCTGGGCTGGAAGGCAGGCTCCTGGATGGGCTGGAAGGCAGGCCGCTGGCCGGGTTGGAAGGCAGGCTCCTGACTGGGCTGGACGACAGACTCTCTTGGGCTTCCGCTCCTTGATTGGCCTGATCGGTTGGGCCGACTCGAGCTCGGGTTGCTTGGCTTGGGCCTGCTAGTCCAAGTTTGGGGCCTGGGCCGATTAGACTCTGGGCCTAGTCCCATAACCCCATCACAAGTCCCCCACTACCTTAGTCGAGTAGTAAACTCGGCTAAGAGGTAGTAGTTCAAGTCAGCTGCCAATTAAAAGATATTCACATACCAGGGAGCAATAATTGTGGATTCTGTCAAACCCAAAATTCGTGGAGATTTCCTAATTTTAAACAAAGCTATCAGCTTAAAAGGCTTCAAATTAATTCCCTCATCATCCTAGCATTCTCGCCATCAGCTTTCTCCCAGACTTCAAAATCCACGTCAACTTCCAAAAATTCCTGAAATTCATCATCATTATTTCATAATTATTTACGCACTTTTTTCCTTTTCTTTTCCTTTCTTTCCTTTTCTTTTCTTTCCTTTCCTTTTCTTTCTTTCCTTTCTTTCTTTCCTTTTCTTTTCTTTCCTTTTCCTTTCTTTCCTTTCATTCCTGGTCTCTGCGTGCATCTTCCTCGCGTCGCCCCAGCGCCGTAGTCAACCAGCCGACTGGGTTGACCACCGTTTTTCTCCCGGAGGCTCCTGGGTCGACCTCTTCTGCGCTCAATCGCTGCTCCGCACCACCGGCGGCAGACGGCATCTCCCCAGCAGTCCAGTGGATCTGGACGGCGGGTCTGGACCCCCTTGTCCGACCGACCCAATCTCTTCAGCTGGCGGTCGTTCCACTCCTGGTAAGCGTCACCAGGGGGACTGGTAGCCCGGCGACCCCCCAAGTCAGGTTGCACATTCTCTCAGGCGGCCAGGCTGTTTGCAGCCGTGATTCCTCCACCGGACGGCATCCTCTAGGCCGCCTTCCCTAACGGCTGGCTTCACTTAGAGTTTTGAGCTGGTCGTGGCATCCCGTGCTAGTCGGTAGCTCCCTAGGGCGGCAGCACGCTAATTGTCGTCTAATGCCTAGCAAATGGCTATTGGCCTCCACCCAAGTCGGACATCCACTCCATAGGGTTGGCGGCAGGCCGGAACTCAGCTGCCCTTCGTTGCGCGGCAGATGTGGCAGCCTCCCATTGATGGCGACTGTCTTCCTGCTGCCCGGATGAGCCCCTCATCATGCTCGACACTTCGTATTTTCATCTATTCTTGTAACTCTTTTTTTTATGTGTGCAGGCGTGCTCCTTTCAGTTTGATCATGCAAGACGGTGGACGCTCTCCCCATGAAAACAATGGTCATGTGGATTTGGGATTGTCGGCTAGCATTGAAGCAGAGCATGGGGCGGCCGCGAGACCCATGTGGGTCAGCCACGACCCTCGACCACGTATGCATGCGGGTGTTACTACTGGGTGGCAAGCTAACGTTCTCCCTGAGTTGGCTCCATCCAGGCGGATTGTTACTTCTGAGGGACGACCTCTCAATGTTCCAGACAGAGCGCGCATCCAACCTGTGAATGTACCAGACTCTGATGATGATTCTGATACTCGGGTGGACTTGGATTCCTGGTGGGACCTTGATAGCGGCGGAATACTCGGCCTCCCTTCTCGCGTCACAGAAGAGGACCTCACCATAACATATAGTATGATTGGTAATAATTGTTTTTTGAAACCTCCGGTAGATACTGACGTATTGAGCGATCCCCCATCTCCCAATTTCAGGGTCCATATCCGCTCTCTGGAGTTATGGATGGCCGTGCCACTGCATCCCTTCCTAGTTCGGCTTCTTCACTTCCTGGGTGTAGGCGTGTAGCACCGGGTCAATTAGCTCCGGCGGCTCACATGTTTGGTGCAACTTTTTTGGCGCGATGTGAGGGTGTGGGCCTCGCTCCCACGTTTGGTTTGTTTTTTAGCTGCTTCCAGTGGTGTGCTTCTAGCTTTTTCACCTCAGTCTCCCAGAGGCCGATGAGCAAACTGTTTCGGTCGGGTTACCCCACTTCAGGAAAGGGGTGGAAGAAGAGATGGATCTGGGTGTCCGACCCCAACCTCCCGTCACCTCCGTTTCAGTGGGGTTAGCGGGTTCGGAAGTGTGACTGTGTCGCCCTCTCCCCTGATCTCAAATCCTCCATTGAGAAAATGTCCACAGGCGGCCCCCCTCCACCAGCTCATATTTAGGTGATTGTCACATCTTTGGTCCGCGTTTGGCCACACTGTATTTATTTTCCTTATCCTCATATTTTTCTTTTACAGATGTGCCTGAGAAGCCCGATGTTGAGGCCGAATCCGATGAGGAGGTGCCTCAACAAGTCATCTCCCCTGCAGCTCCTACGGCCGCGGAGGGGAAAGAGCACGGAGCCCCCCCAGACCGTGCGGCGCAGATCCCAGGAAGGGTGAGGGTTACCTTTTGGCCTCGGCCAGCTGTGTCAGTGCAAGAGAAGCACAAGGGGGGACTCGTCGACCTGCTAGTCGAATTGGACGGATCTGACGAGGAGGAGCCTTGTCCAGCCGTCGCTCTTGTGGCCCCTCAGGCAGTTGCGGGGAAAGAGCACAGAGCCCCCTCCCCGGGACGAGAGGAACAAGTCTCGAAGAAGGTGAAGGTCACCCCAGAGTTTCAGTCCGTTGAGTAGGTACATGAGGGTGTCGATGAGAGGATGGCCGAGCGGATCAGCCATGACACCTAACATACAGTTACTTATGCCTTCCCATCTTCGAGCACCTCGATCATGCATGAAGGCTTCCTGGTCGTGGATTACGCTTCATCGATCCTCCCACCGGGCGACCTTGCTTGTACGACTTCCCAGGAGTTTCATCCCCTCATGGAAGGTTCTATCCGGTCACCTATTGAGGTAGGCTGATCACGTCTTAGCATAGACTGTGTTTATCCCTGAGTCCCCTCACATTTTCGTTTGTCTAGTTCGCAGGGGCTCACCAAGACCATCAAGGGACTCCACACAGCCAATCATTCTCGGGCCAGGCTCCAGTGTGAGGCTGACAAAGCTAGGGCTGCCTTGTGGGCCAGCCAGAAAGCCTTCTCTGAGCTGCAGTCTTCACGTGCGCATGAATGTGAAGAAGCGGCCAAACAAGGAGCCAAGAAAGCGCTCTCCGAGTTCCAGGCCTTCGAGCAGTTCCAGAAGATCATCTCTGTGAGGGTACAAGCGGAGCAGTCCAACCTAGTGCAGCGGTGGCTGGCAACCCCCGACGGAGAGTATTGGCGCGCTCGCGAAATCCTCTATGCATTCCAGAGTTCCAAATATTTGATGCAGCAAAAGTTGTACGGCCGGTTGTAGGATCTTGGCCCTGCCTTTTATCCTTCCACACTGGGCCTTCCTGATCGCATGAAGAAACCCGCAGAGGCGATAGCCGTTCTTCCCCCAGAGGCCGTCCGCCGGGAGGAGGAGTTTGGTGGTTCGAACGAGTGGGGCTGGTTCTTTCCGCCAGCTCCGGGGAACATGACTCTCGTGGCCTCCGGTCGGGACTTTGTTGGTGTGTTAGATGATATTGGGAGATTAATGGTGATGGGCCTGTCCAGCCATGACCTTGTATTTTGTATTTCCTTTGTTTTTCACTTGAATACTCTGTGTTTCAAATGGATGTTTGATTTTTAATTGATATGTCTATTCTTCTATACTTTGCATTACGAATACTTTAGCAATTTGTTCGGGGATCTGGCTTCTCTAACCTCCCAGGGGGCGGTTAGGCTGGCGTGGCCGAGCCCATCCGTGCCCCTTCTGGTCGGATAGAAGTGATCTGTTCGTTATTGATATGGAATCAACAAGTATGCGACTTGTTCGGCCAGTGAGGTCGGACATTGAACCTGCGAGGAGGACCCTTAGGTCGGTATCACGAATGTTCATGACCTGGGGGTCAGTCCTACTTTCACATTAACCCGTCTAGTTTGCCCGGACTTGGGGAATAATCTGGTTACTCTCACTGGGATAGCCAAACAACAGGGACGGACCCTGCATGATCCACTAGAACGGACCCGCACCTCTAACTCGGGGATGGAGAGAGTGCGAGTTGCTTGGCTAGCGATGTTAGGCGGCGAGCACTCGAAAGGACCCGGAGGTCAGCATCCTGAGCACCCTCGACCCAGAGGTCGGCCCTACTGTCGCCTCGACTGTCGCGACTAGCTCTTTACTTTAGAAAATTGCTCGGATTCTCGAAAATCGCTTGGCTATTTTAGTTTAAGAGCCTTGCCGAGGTCGACCAAACACCGAGGGGGGCATAGTAGCTTTTTTTTTGTTTTTTTTCCTTTTTTATTTTTTTTCTGCCGCCACCCTTTATTGCTAAGTGAGGTCGGACCTCTTTTGAAGACAAAATATCGTTAGCAAAGTATATTGAATTCATGATGTGGGCGGACCACAAGAAGAATTAAAAATTCTAATCCCGTGCTCGGAGCACAGAAGTTTACAAAAAAAAGTGAGACTTCGATTCTCTACTGGTAAAACTTCATCAGATGCTCCGTATTACAGATGCGGTCTACTAGCCGGCCTATTATTGTCTTGAACTTGTATGTTCCAGGGCCGATCACGGCGTCAACCATGTAAGGGCCTTCCCACTTGATGGAAAGCTTACCTCCCTCTGTCGGCTTGTTGGCCTTCCTTCGCCTCAAAACGTAATCACCAACGTCAAAATTCTGAGGTCGGGCTCGGCTGTCCTGGTATGCTTGACTTGTCGTCGATAGTTTTCTGCTTTGATGAAGGCACGATCTCTTCTTTCCTCAATGAGGTGGAGCTCGGCTCGGAGCCTCTCCTCATTGGTGGCTGGTTCGAACTCTTCCACTCGTCGGCTGGGGACTACAGCCTCCAACGGTGCCCTCACCTCAAAGCCATAACACAAAGCGAAGGGGGTCTCTTCGGTTGCCTTCCTTGGGATTGTTCTGAAGGTCCAGAGTATATTGTTCAACTCCTCCACCCAGGCAGTTCCGGGGGCCTCCAACTTCTTTTGCAATCCATCGAAGATTGTCCGATTGGTGTTCTCCACATGTCCATTTGCTTGAGGGTAACAGACCGCAACCCGATTGGATTCTACGCCCCACTCTACGCAGAACTGCCGGAAAGCTTCGCAGTCAAACTGCCTTCCGTTGTCGGAGATTATTTGGAGGGGAACCCCAAATCGGCAAAAAATATTCTTCCATATCAACTTCTTACATTGGAGATGAGTGATGCTGGCGAGCGGCTCGGCCTCAACCCACTTCATAAAGTAATCCACTACAACGATGACAAACTTTCGGTTTCCCGACCCGGTTGGCAAGGGACCGACCAGGTCGACGCCCCATCTTGTGAATGGATGGGCGGTGTTGATCGGTGTGTACATTTTTGCTGGCCGGCCGGGACTCTTCTGAAACTTCTGACATGTCTCACATCTCCTTGAATAGTCAGCGCAATCATTCATTATTGTCGGCCAAAAGTACTCCTGGAGGACGACCTTCCTAGCTACCGTGCATGCTCCCTGGTGTGCGGAGCACACTTCCGCGTGGAGTTCAGAGTTGATCATGTCCGCCTCGTGTGGGCGCAAACACTTTAGTATGGTCCCATTGTAGGACCTCTTGTACAACTTCCTGTCCAAGATGACGTAGCCCGGAGCTCGTCGGCGGACTAGCTTTGCCTCCTCTTCTCTATCGGGGAGCATCCCGTCGGTTATGTAGCGCAGGAGGTCATCCACCCAGCACCAGGCGACCGGTTGCAGGGGAAGGACCTTGATGGATGGTGAGACTGCTATGCTTGAGGTCGTCGTCTCCTCAATGTGTGCGATTCTCGATATGTGTTCAGGCAGCCCCTAGGATAGCTTCGAGAGGAGCTCAGCGTCCGAGTTTTGATTCCTCGGGACGCAGATCAACTCTGCTTATTTAAACAGCCCGAGCAACTCCCGAACAGCATTTCGGTACTTCATCATTCTTTCTTCCTTCGCTTCGAACTCACCTTTTACCTGGGAAATGACCAGTCGGGAGTCACATTTCACCGTTATCCACTCTGCTCCCATGGCGCCCACTAGCCGTAGCCCGGACAGTAGGGCCTCATACTCCACTTCATTGTTGGAGACTTTGAAAAGATAGCGGTAGGCGTAGTTGGCCCGGAATCTCTCAGGTGAGATGAGGACGATTCCGCCCCCGCATCCCTTTGCTCCGGCCGTCCCGTCAGTCGTTAGGGTCCACCACTGCTCGTTGCTCTCATGTTGCTTCTCCGTCACCTCTCGGGCTGTGCACTCCACTATGAAATCAGCCAGAGCTTGACCTTTGATGGACGTCTAAGGCTGGAAGTCAACCTCAGACTGGTTGAGGAGCATCGACCACTTCACCACCCGGGTTGTGCCAGGCGCCCTCAGGGCGGTGCCAAAAGGTTGGTCCGATAGGATTTGGATCGGGTGTGCCTGGAAGTAGTGTGTCAAATTCTTGGAAGTGATGTAGGCGGCATATATCGTCTTCACGAGCCGGGTGTACCAGACTCAGCATTCTGGAGGGTCTTGCTTACATAGTAGACGGGATGTTGAATGCCTTCCTCCTCGCGAACCAGCACGGAACTGATTGCGCCTTGGGAGACTCCAAGATAAAGGATCAACGTCTCCCCCCTCTCCGGCTTGCTGAGTAAAGGATCAGAGAGGAGGTACTTCTTCAAGTCCTCAAAGGCTTGCTGACACTAATCATTCCAAACAAAACCGTTCTGTTTCTTTAGGACCTCGAAGAAGGGTATGGACTTCTCAGCGGACTTGGACATGAAGCGTCTGAGGCTGCTAGCCGGCCGGTGAGAATTTGGACTTCTTTCATTGATCTTGAAGGTTCCATGTCAAGTATTTCCCTTACCTTCTCGGGATTCGGCTCAATCCCCCTCCGTGTAACCATGTACCCCAGGAACTTGCCTCCCTGGACAGCAAAAGTACACTTCTTCGGGTTCAGACGCAATCGGACTGCCTTCATGATCCCAAAGATCTCTGCCAGGTCATCTGCATGATTGGACGCCCGGGTGCTCTTGACGATCATGTCGTCAACATAAGCCTCCATGTTCCTTCCAAGCACCTTCCAAAATACCTTGGCCACCATCCTCGTGTACGTCGCCCCAGAATTCTTTAGACCGAAGACCATGACAAGATAACAAAAAATCCCCTCTGGGGTGACGAACGAGGTCTTCTCTGCATCGTCTTCATGCATGAAAATCTGATGGTATTCTCGAAAAGCGTCCATGAAGCTAAGGAGCTCACAGCCGGCCGTCCCATCGACCAGTTGGTCGATGTTAGGCAATGAGAATGGATCCATCGGACATGTCTTGTTGAGATCGATGTAGTCAACACACATCCTCCAGGTTGGCGGCTTCGAGGCCAGGACCACGTTTGCCAGCCAGACCGGGTATAGGACGTTTCGAATGTGTTTGATACTCAGTAGCATATTGACCTCCTTCTTCACGAATTCCCTCCTCTCGATTGAGAGGTGTCTTCTTTTCTGCTGGACGGGTTTCGCTGTTGGATCGACTGCCAGCCGATGGACAACGATGCTTCGGTTGAGGCCGGGCATGTTGATAAGTCTGTATCACAACATGCATTTGATGCATGTTGGGATCGGTTTTTGATGTTTTCCCTAACTTTTAGGTGTCACAAATCTCAATTTTAGCTCAAGTTATGTGAACAAGGCGTCGGTTCGAGTTTTGTGTTATTTGGAGTCAAAATCAGGAATTTAAAGTCCGGCACCGGCGCTTGACGAGAAATCGGGACAACTTGAGAAGCATTCGAGAGTAATTGATAGCTTTGGAGGTCACGGGAGGTTCACCAATGAAGATTTGATGACAAAAGAGCTCTAGGATTGGCTACGGGATCAAAAGAAGACAAATAGAGCTTGAAAACGACGTTCAGAATGTCTTTATGTTAATCATTCAAACATATCTCTTTGTAGAAGCATGAATCCAAAGGACACAATTCAAGTTGCATATGAAAGCCAACTTCAAGGGCTATAAATCATATGAAGACACCATTGCAAGACTCTGAGAGGAAGAAGGTGAAAACAGACGATGAAGTCAGATGATCCCTGTTGCGATTTCAGAATGAGACCTTCCACCATTTTATTCATATCTCTTGATTGGATGAGGTAAATCCAATTCGACAAGTTTTGATGGATAGAGGACTTCATTATCTACAACTTTAATGAAGGAAGTTTTATCAAATCCGAACTAGAGAAGCCAGAAATCTCACTGGCAGCCACACACGCGTGTGTGGGGGGGCGCACGCGTGCGTCCAACGTTTTTTACGCGCAAGTCTGTCGGACGCACGGACACCACGCACGCGTGCGTGGGCGCCGTGCGTGCCCCCTGGAGTCCTAATTTCGCCCGAATTGCTCCGTTTTTACTATTTAAACAGCCTGCAAACCCTTGTTTTAAGGGGGGGCTTAGAGAGAGGCCTAGAGACGAAATTTCTTCTACTTTTCCATCTTGTTCTTCAATTCCCTTGGATTATTTGTAAGTTCTATCTTTTTAATTAATGACAATTAATTCTATTCTTCCCAATTCTATTGATTCTTCAATTATGAGTTGTGAGTAGTTTTAATTAGCAATTTGGGATTGATGAAGGGGTTAATCATGATGTATGGCTAGTTTCTTGATGGATTAATTGCATGAATGCCGTTTAATTTGTGTTTGAACAATTTAATTGCTATTTTTTGTAACCTGGAACCGCGGCTAGATTTACAATTGCTTGTAGAATAAATTAAGAGAGATCTAATTCATTTTGAGATGCATTCACACACACTTAATCGCTCGCTAAGAGATTAGTAGCGATAAAGGGGCCGTAAGCTCGCTTGTTTTGGCAATAATTTAGGATCCTATCGCATGAGAGATCAGCCTGGTCCCCTAAATTATT